GGCGGATTTTTTTCGCTGAGTCAGAAGGTGAGACTGCAGCATCTCGTCGATGATGCCTGTCAAGTCGCGATTTTCCGTTTCAGACCATCCTCGCGCTTTTGAGTTTCTTCCAGCAATTGGCTCAGACGGGACTCGGAATCTCGAGCAACCATTTCTGATCTTCTCGCGGTCGCGTCGCTTTGTTCTAATTCAGCAACCCTTCCCTCGAAACAATTCATTGATCAACTCGAGCTCGTTGATACGAGTTTTCAGAGAAGTGTTTGCAGCAAGGAGGCCTTCGTAGGTTTGTGGCGCTTCTAAATGGCGATCGTTTGCGGAGGATGTTGAACTGATGGAAGGGTTATGTAGTTGTAAGGAGGGGAGCACAGCAGTAGACGGATTGAAACTGTGGTCTGACAGGGTAACACTATCGAACATGTGCTGAGGTGCTATATTTGAATGGTGTTGAAACCCAGGGGTATTGGTTCGTGAAACTGGAGAATTAGAGCGATCCGAGGGCCCTGCGGAACCTTTTCGTGATCCACGACGGTGGCCATGGGAACCTAATGGGGGAGTACCGGCTTCGGATCTCGAACCAGCAAGGCCATTGGTATCAATATTTGTCTATAAACAGGCGAAAGTAAGCAACACCATTGAGGACCCCGATGGAAAAGGAATTTCACCACAAATCTAGGTTAAGAGTAGAGATACTACATACTTTTCTTTTTGGTCCCTGTCCCGAGGTTTTGACGCGATTTCGACTTTTGATCACATCAGTTTTAAGGCTTATCGGACGAGGTCGACCGTGGAGTTTGAGGAAAAGACCACAGGCATTGCATAGCACCGATCCGGATTCGTCTCTCCTCCAAAGGGGGGTGGTGGAAGTACCACAATTTTGACAAACGGGCTGGAATTGAGAGCGTTTCTCGTCAGCCATAGTGGTCGCCATGATGCGATTGAGGCAAAAATAATAAAGACAAGACAGTGCCAGAGGGGTGGTGTGCAGGAGGAAAGGAAGGACAATATTTGAGCTAGCATTGACAAGGTGTTGATAAGATTCGGCTGTGATAAGAAATAGAAAAAAAATTATTGGGAAGACGGCTGCCAAGCCCAGATCTAGGCCATGCCTAAACAGGCAATTCGCGGAAAATGGCTGTTGGCAAGCGGAGCCATATTGTGTAGCGGGAATGGGGAGAACACCTCATCTCATGGATTGCACTTACCGGAGTATTCCCTTGACCCCCGGTGGTGGCTCCTGGCGAAGAGGTTGCATAACTCATGTTCCGGATGGCATTCTGGTTGCTGCTAGCCTTGTCCTTCGTCTCGTAGGCGCTGGAAATGGATAGATACTCCAACTTGTTAGTCCCTGCTTCAATGCCATTCTCAAGTAACTGTCACAGTGCATATTGAGAGAATTACATCTCTGCGGGCTGTATGGGTTTTAATTTAGGCGCATCTAAGGCTGCCCGATTCGTCCCAATACCGACGCCCGTGGCTGCCAGGAGCAAAACGTACCGTAAATGAGAACTTGGGGCAGATGCAACTGATGCTAGCGTTGAGAGGCCAGGAAGAGAAGCTGAGTAGCTGAGATTCCTGTCACGTTTGGATTGGTGTTGTGGACGCAAATTTGGGCTTGACGACTCTGTTGAAGGTGATGGTGGACGGGATAGATGACTGGCAGAGGGTGGCAGGGAGTAGGCGGACGCAGACTCGAAATTTGGGAGGTCCCGAGTCCGTGACGGTGAGGTTCGATGTAGAGCTGGGTCAATGGGCGAAGGCCCAAACGTAACTGGAGCCACTGTGGAAGTCGTTGTGAGAAAAGTTGGGGAAAAGGCGGAGGAAACCTTCAGAAAAATGGACAAAGAGAATGGAATCCAGCCGAAAGAGAGACAAAAGAAATAGATACTAAGAATTATCTAGTACTGGTGTTGCTGGGAGAATAAGGGCGAGCAGTTGATGGGCGAAATTTTCTCTCTCGTATGTTTCCTTTTTTTCGGATCGGACTGGGGAAGAAGATATTTAAAGGAGTTGTTGGCAAAGGTTAGGCGCGGTTCCAAGTTAGTAGATCTGGGGTTGGCTAGAACGCTATTATCCCGGTCCAGATGCGATATGATTCAAGTTCACACCAACGGTATTTCAATTGAATAACTGGAGGCATAAAAATAAAATAAACAACGAGTGCGCCACTCCTCCAGTCTTCCTCCCTGTCCGATGAAGACTGCAAGCTGGCTTTTCTAACGCTTAATCAGTCCAACGTTGGAGGGTTTTGGTTGTTTGTAACTTATCAAACTGAGATATATGAATTACTAGAAGTCAATAATACTACCAATATTATTTCAGGACTCTCAAGGAATATAAAATGAATATTGTGTCAGTGTTCACATTGCGTTATCGTCCTCGCGGTTTCCAGCAAACATTGAGATCAAGTCACCACTAAATGACTCCTCTTTTGTCTCACAACAGCTGAAATTCTGGCACCCCATGGTTAAATACTGCAGAATTTGTGTCAGGGTCTCATCCTGGGCTTCTACAATTCTCCAACTCGCCATATACATCATAGCTCTAAGCCTGAGTGTTAACCCGTGAACCAAGCTCTGAAGTTGCAACACTTACTTATCTGGTTCCTTAGGCGAAGACGTAAACCATCCATTCGCTTACATCCATCGAATAAATAACACTGGGCTCACATCTGTGCAAAATAAACAGCTGATGATTTTGAAATTGACGCTCTCCTGAACTCCTTCATGCGTTTTGTTTCTCCCTCCTTGAACTCTTGACTCTCTTCAGAGATTAGAAATTTCATGGAGAGGATTCCTTACATTGTTGGGAGCACATATGAGGGATGGGCACTGTAACAGCTGCCTTGCCAATATCAGAACCTCTAACATCAGAACCTCTAGATATAGTAGTTAAAAGTTCGACCTTGGTCATAGCCTGGGAAGCGACAATACCACATCTGCACTTTGTCGTGATGTTACAGTCATTTGCGCTTTTGGAATGAGGCGTCATGATCGAATGCGCTATGCCCTTGGTGGCACTGGATACCTGGATGATGTGTCATACACAAATGAATTTGTTGCAATGAAAGAGACATCTGCATGTCCAATGGTCTCTTCTCTCTTATCAATGCACACACAGCTCCGTGCTGTCCAAAGGATTCTGCACAGATAAAAACTGATGGGCTAGCCGTTGTGCACCTTGTAGTAATTGTATATCTTCGCTGGCCGTAATCATGTTTTATTCTCTCCTATAACGAGATATGTTGTAAGCACCGATCTTCTTTCGATTTTCAGCTTCGCTATCCTATTCTTCCTAGATTATAAGGAATTGGAAAGTAGAGATACTATCCGTTGTTTAAAATGCCAAAAGGACAGCCACATCGACTTTCTTGTCATCGCTTTCAGCTTTGGTGAGGAGGGTCCTAAATACTCTGCGACGGGTAGATTTTGTAGACACAAAACCAGTCTGTATGAATGGGTGCTCGCCCTTGCCTCTGTCCTCCTTCCTGTTTCGTTTGTTGTTGCTATACATTCTCCTTTATTCCTTGATGATGAAGCTAGTTTTCTTTCTTGGTTTGCTATGGTATTGATATCGTGTGTTGGAATGTCTGAAGGAGTAATTGCTTCTCGAAAATGCTACCTCAGTACAGCAAATTGTGTATTGTAAGTTATTTGTATTTGCAGAAAAATTAACTTCACTGGATCAGAACAGGTGCCGAACATGTCTTTGACCAGCGGGAGAACAAATTTTGATAGAGTAGACGACATTATGAACAGAGCATCCCCATTTTCATCGAATGAACGCTGGGTGTCTGCCAACCGGTTCTTAAAACCACAAGTTGGTTTACATAAGCGGTCTAGATCACATGTTTTCCTAACGACCAAACGTGTAATGAAAATGGATAGGAGAATTTGGTTATGGAAGCTACCTATTGATTTGTTGAATACGAATCTTGTTGCCGCCTCATACGTCGCCATCCATGAAGCTACGCTCTGTCATGCTGAGAGCTTCTTTGACTTCCCCTTTCACCTAAATAGTTAACGCCATTCCCCCCCCTCCCCCCCCCCCCCCCCTTTTTTTTTTTAACACTCCCCCCATGGGCCCCCACAAATATCGTCCCGCTACATCCGGTTATGAGCGCCTTGCCCAAGCTGATGAGGAAAGGACTCATGGCTTTTATGATCCCTCCGACGATGAAGACTCAGTTCGTAGTAGCATACGGGGATGGGCACTTCCGTCTACTCGAGAGTTCTCCTATCCCTGTCCCGGCTCGCGATGCAAGATCACGATCGGTTCTTCGCCCACCCGATAGCGGGTATCACCAAAACCGAACTTTCATGGCGAGTGCGCAAAAATCTCCCGTGTATATTCCAAGCCCAT